AAACATGTGAAAAACCTCTAGATGGTATAAGACACAAGTCTTGATGTTGACTTGAAATACGAATTTTATTGCTGTTGCTCTATGTTGATCATACATACGGCTGATGAGCAGAAATCTCATACTATGCAATAGATTTATCAAATGCAACCAATGCCTAAGAATCTCTTTAAATTTGTATACCATAAACAGTATCCAATTTATTTCACACCAGGGCTTTTTATTTTTTGACCGATAGAAAAGGGTCAGGTATCATCGTCTAGAAACTCAACCGATTGAGATTTAGAGAGGGGAGTAAAGGAGAACTAGTAGGAGGGTGGTAGAGGTGCGGGTGAACAGGAGTGTGTGAATGCCTGACTTAACAACTATATAAAATAGAAAGAGGTTATCACATTGCTGCCAGGGGTTACAACAGAGGTTAAGATGGATAGAGGGATGTACCTAATTACAAGTAAAGGCGTACGTTAGGGGTGCGTGCAATGCATTAGCTGCAGCAAAACTAAGTCGCATGTGCACTCTTTTTTACTACTGTCATTGTGCAGCACTAAACAACATGAATCTTGAGTAGAAGTAAAACCTTCAACAGCCAACGCATAGGCTCACATCTCTGCTAATAAGTTATTATCACGTACAATGACACCAAATATATTAAAGTTGTAATAAAAGGTCTTAAGATATGAACATGAAATATTACAATTTGGTATATTTGGGTACACTACAGTTGTTTGTTCCGCGCCTCCTGATTATGGGATAGGCTTAAGCATTTATTTACACGAAACACTTGTGGGGGTCTCAGATATCATAAGGAAAGGAGGTGAGGGGGCACAACTGCTCGTCGATCACTAACTACTAAACCGAATGCACCATGCACCTGTCAGATGTCTGCTGGACATGACGCACAGTGGAAAAAAAGAACTTTTTGGGTTACAAATTTCCTAGAGGCCACAGTTCTTAACCAATTGACTAATTTCTTTTTGTTCTGAAGATCATTATTTTTTTAAGACATCTGTCAGAGCCAAATTAAAAATTTGTTCGTTACTAAATTGCTACATAATTTCCAATGTCAAATTTATAACGTAACTTCTAAAGATGCAACCTGTATTAAAGCAATATAAGGTTTTTAAAATTGTTATGAGCCTGATGTAACATATTAGGCTCTGCAGGGTGAGTTTTTTTTCACATACTTTCAATATATCTAAATTCAAAATGGTGGAAACCAATATGGTGGACCAAGATTTAAAAAGTGCCTTAATAGCTTAAAAAAAAAAAAAAACCTTACACGATGTTTTTGGGGTCACAGATTACAAATTTGTTGTTACTTTCAAGAAATTTAAAATAACGAAGACTAATATGGCTGACTAAAATTTTAAAAGTGTCTGAATAAATAAATGAAAAGTCTTATAAGATGTTTCTGGGGTTGCTAATTACAAATCAGTTATTACTTTCAAGAGATTCAAAATAGTGGGAATCAATATGGTGAACGAAGATTTTTAAGGTGCCTGTATCAATGAAAAAGTCTTAGAAGTGGTTTTATTAGTCCTTTATTTTAAATTTAAAATATTTTTTAGATATTGAAAATAGTGGAAACCAATACAATGGACTGAAACTCTAAAAGTGTTAAAATGCACAAACAGTTAATAAGTAAGGGTTATTTGGAATAGCTGACTATCAATTCGTCATTGATTTTTTAATATCAAGTACAGCAAAAAATTACTCGGTGCACTATGATGTTGAAAGTATTTTGATCTCTGAAAAAAAGTTTTACATAATGCTTAAAATTAAACTTAAAAGACCATAATTCTACATTTGACTAAAGGCCCCTGCTGCAACAGTTAAAATATGTATTATGTATATTGAATATATGACTTGTACTTTATATATGTTTAGTCGTTATAAGTGCTGAAGCTCAAAATTATAATTACATTTCTTTTTAAGGACCCTACTCTATCTTTGAGGGAATTGGCCCTCTGATGCTTTAACTTCTGGTTATTTTAAAAGTGTATAACAAAACTATTAATAGTTGCTAGGTCGTAGAAAATCGTCTCTTTAATATATTTTTAATCAAATTGCAATATTCCATATAGATCTACATGGTTCCGTGGTACAATAACAACTGTTATTTGTATTAAATGCGTTCAATGTCATATTTATACTTTGATGTTTTATAAAAAATTAAATTAAATACTATCTGATATGTAGTATTATATTATACGTATGTACACACTACAGTTTGAGTTATGGTTAAGACTTTAATTGTGTTATCAAAAGAATAAATTGTACAAAAGTGGTCTGATCACAACTCTCCGATGTCTTGCAAATTGCTGCAAGTTGGTTGAAAAAATTTCTTACAATACTTGTAGACGAACCTTAATTTCTACAATTTCAGTTAAATGTATGACGCTCAATTGACAAACTCGCAGCAAATTGCGAGAGTTGTGCTCAGGGGTCTTATCACGACTTTCGATATTTCGCAAAAAACAGATTTTCTTTCGATTATCTTAACAACATTTAGGTTCTGCTCATGCTTAGTCTAGGGATTATCAAAAAAAGCCTAACTTTGCGAGGTATTAAGAGTCATGATAAGGCCCCAGATCCCTTAAATACAGTCTGCTCTTTCGATAACATTCGATCATGCAATCGATGTCTTAACTGTAACTTTAACGGTAGTGTAAATATATATAATATATTATTACACATCTGATAGTATTAAGTTCTCGTATATATAGAATATAATTATATAAATGTGTAATAGATTGCTTTCATGCGTATTATGAGTGTTAATGTACCGTAAAGGTCCATATGGAATATTGTAACTTAGATTAAACATATCTTAAGAAAACGATTCCTTACGACTTAGCTCCCATTAAGACTATTGATCTTGATGTTGAGATCTATTTGAATTACAAGTTTGAAGAAGTTTGACATAAGCACATTTTCCGTATGAATCGAGTGGTATCTTATAAAAAAAAAATATATATATATATATAAAAGATACATTATTGAGAAAAGTGAGCACACTGAGCATGGATTGACCATCCAAGCAATCAACGAGAGGCAAACAAGTTGTCTCCTTGAAAACAATAATACTCTTGTGTCAGTATTAAATTTTTGTGACTGTGACCGATTAACATATCAGGTACATTATCAAATGAGTTAATCGAAATCCCAGTTTTTTCAAAACAGAAATTCGATAAACTAACACTTAATGTTTGCTTAGGGAGTGCTAAATTTTTACGACTAATACGCTCTTTAAAAAATGAAATGAATCTTTACTTTTAATTAAAATATCTACTTTCTTACTAGCTAAAGTTGTCAGACTATTTTTATTAAAGTCTTTCAAACGAACATTTATGGACGAACTCTTTACTCCTAACTCATTCAAAATTTAAGAATTTATTGAACATACGGTTAAGCATACATTCAAAATTGCATGAATGATTTTTGAAAGCCTCGGGCCACTCTTAAGAACTGAAATTATTTTTAGTACTTTTTTATTTAGTCAACCTAACGTATTCACAATATTAACCGGTTTTCCGATGCTAGCACTCCTGGAATTATCCTGTGAGTGATTAAATGATTTTTCAATGTGCAAAACAACATGATGATCTGTTTAACATAATTTTCATCGCTTTTTCTCGCATTTCTCATGCATTTGACCGTTTCTTAAACAAACGTAACACAGGCGTTGCTTTCGAACAGCCACCGAGTGTTGAAATATCGGAGCAGAAATAAAATTGCGACAATCTTCAATTACACGGTCTTTGCGGCCGTAAAAAAAGCATGAGAAATTGATCTTTCGTCAAGCAAGTTAAGGTGGTAAAAGTATATACTGCAAATTAAATAATTATTTATAAGACTAACAAGAAAATTAATACTAATTTCTGAAGTACAAAACTCATTAGTTTTACACGAGGGGGAGAATGTTCCTGATATAACGTTATGATTTGTTCCTCGTTTATTCTCTTTTTAATTTTATAAGGAAAGCGCTCAAATGTTAAAAATAGTAATAATGAAATCATTACATGTGTACTGCACGCCCGACAATTGAAAGAGGAGGTCAGGTATTGACCGCGCCACTTGCTCGTCTTATGAGGTTCGGAACGGAAGAAAGATATAAAAAAGGGAGGTTGTCTTAACCCCGTATACGATCGCACAAACATTCGGGTAAGAAATGTTATGACTTTTTCTATCGTTGTCTGAAAACGATTATTCTTGTTTTATTAAATTTGTAACTCTTAAGGAGGAGGGCGAGTTATTACTATTTGTTCTCTTATCATATAAACTTGGAAATATTAATTAAAAACTGTTAAATCTAGTTTTCACTCATTCTTCCAAAAAAAAAGTTCAAGTCCACTAGGCGATCAGTTTCCTACGTATACAAAAAAAGCTTGTGAAAATAGCTTTGAGGATTGAAAAGAGCGTTGGCACGAGTGTATTATATCTGGAAGTGATTACTTGAAAGGGGACAGCATGAACATTGATAAGAAAGTGAATACTTTATTTCAATAAAAAATCTCCTTGCTTTTAAAACACACCTCGTATATTAAGAACACTAAAGATTGAAGTTTTGTTTTAATATTCATACCTATCTGTACGCTACGATACTTCTCCTTCTTAGAACCTACAAGAATTATAATTATAGATGTCTTTCTACCTTTATTTATTAGATACGGCGTACTGTTTAATATTTGAAGGCTATGCGTGCCCATGACTATGGAAAAATGTTTTTGAATTTTTGTAACTATTCATTTTATTTACAGTTAATTAGGTTAAAACTTTACTGAACAATTTATTAAATAATTTTTATTTACAATAATTTAATTATTTTTCGAAATTCCTGTAACTCATGTAGTATATCTTGCTTAAATAAGTAAACAAAAAATTCTTTACCTCAATTATAAATGACTATTAGCATGCACTTGAAGAATTTCTCAAATTTTTATTTTTCATTATTGTTTTATATATCCCATGTGTATTTATCAGTGTCTTTTTTCTAATTAAAGATGCTACGTCTGCTGAATTAGATAAGATAATTGATGTTAACTTTAAAGGCTTAATTTACTGTACCAAAAGAGCCATAGAATTAATGAAAGAGAACAAAAAAGAAGCTCACATCATAAATGTTAACAGGTACTTTAAGTAACAGCAAAATAACCTTAAAGTAAATTTATTATTTTTGTTTATGTGAATGCATGTAAGTAAGCATGTATATTTGGAAATGTAAATATAAATTTTGTGTAATCAGTATTTTAGGTCACATTGTTCCTGAGCCAGGCCTTGTATCATTTAACATTTACCCTGCTACTAAGTTTGCAGTTTCAGCTTTATCAGAGACGTTAAGAAATAGTTTGTGTGGTTTGAACATTCGTGTCACAGTAAGTGCTTGTCAAAAATCATTATCTTTAACATACAAAATGACTTAGATACCTATTTTAAGAAGTTATGAGCTTTGAAAAATAGTTTTTCTTTACGTTTAAATATCTATTACAAAAAAAAAAAAATAATGATAAATAAATAGATAAAAAAACGAATGTATTAAATTTGTATACATATTCATTCTAGAGTGTCAGTCCAGGTCTTACCAAAACAAGAATGATGAGTGTAGCTGGCGCTGTTGATTATAACTATTTACATAACCCAGCACTAGAACCAAAAGATGTTGCAGATGCTATAATACATGTACTTAGAGTACCAGAACGACTAGAAATAAATGAATTGACTCTTCAAGCTAACTTCTGATGACATTATTATTAAAGAATAGTAAATGTGTGGATGAAATAAAACATACGCATGCCTCACAAAACATACGGGTTAAATAAATACTTAAATGTCATATATTGTACTGGAATGATATTTTCTTGGTTTTTTAAAGCAAACAAAAGTGTTACCTTAAAATTTTATAATTATGCGGATCAGATGTGCTTCACGCACTTATTAAAAATTTATTATGATGTAAAATATTTTGATAAGTAGTTTTAAATTGACAAGTATTGACTGATTGATATTAAAATGTCATCCACTCTAGTACGTCTACTTTACTTTTTATTTTTTATCATGAATAATTTTATGACATTGAAATTTTATTTATAAAAACAAAAAATCACTGCAGCAATGATGTACAAACTTTTTTTTCGTTCAATCCATGAATGTTAGTCTTAGAAGTTATTAGGAGTTACCTACATCGGTCTACTAATACACTATTACGATAACTTCAAAACAACTTCTTCTACATTTATTAGTAAGGTGCAAGAAAATAGCATTCAGAATCTCAAATATATTGCACAAGAAAAGTCTGTGTTCCAGAAATAAATACACTTTATTTGAAGGAAATTGAATCTCAAAAACAAAAAAATTACTTATAGGATTTGTTGATCTCTACTCTTTCAGCAAATTTGTGCACGCAATGGGTGAGTTTTACGGTGGTTATTAGTTAAAATTTACGGACAACAATTCCAATCTACATCGGTGGCACAAAACGATGATTATCTTAGCTACTCAACGCAAACTTTAAAGAGCAGAAACTATAAGCAGTTGACAGCAAATCAATGCTTATTACGGAGACTTGCACAAGTAAAATTTTTCTATCAAAAAAAAAAGAAGCATGATATGACAGTAGCCGTTATTGTAACTAAAACTATCATTTTCTTCCAATACCAGGTTTACTTACATGTATGACAAATTTTTTATTAGGACAAGGTGATATCTAATTTTATATAAATNGCGGGCCGGTGGTTTTGATCCGCTCGTAAATCAAGCTTGGCTTTCAGGGAGGCGTTGGAGGTGGCGAAAAATATTCGAGAGCATTTACGCGGAAAAAAATCGGCATTCCGTCCAAAAGTGAGGGAAAAATGGGAAAACGATACGGCACTTACTCTTTTCCGGCCTTGCGGACCGAGTCGTGGAATCGAGACGTGCGTGTATACGTTTTACTTTGCGCGATGTGTGGTTCTATACTTACTTGTAAGCTTTGTGCGATGATGTCGTTACAGGATTGAAGGGGATGGTTATTGATTTCGGCAGATGGTGGTAGTGTGTTAGAATGCGAAAAATGTAGATTGTTACATGTTCCATCTGAAAATTAATACTAATTTTTTTGTTTGTTTTTTAAGACTTTTATGGTCCACCGAATTTATGTACTGAATTTGTATTACTCATAGTTTAAAAAAATTTTTAAAATAAGTAATGAGTAATGAGTTTTTTAACAGAAGAAAAAGATTCAATTAAGATATTAAATAAACTGAATAATGTATAACTTTTTGAGGCGTTGGGATACAAATGCAAAAACTATTCTGACTCATTCATTTAGAAGTACGTGAATTAATTTTGTTTTTTAAAAGTTTTTTCCTGTAGCAAACCACATTATAGTTTTAACATTGAACTTGTTAATTCAACTGATTTTTCTTTTGAAAAATTAAGGGTTTTATGTAAATTTTTAAACAATTTTTTTTTTTTATTTTGATAAATTCTTGTGAGAAAAAAAAAGATTAACAAGAGAATTTCCTCAAAAACTTTGTTAACAAACACAAATCACAAGTTAAAATTTTCTTTTATCGTATTACAACAACTTTTCGCAATGGTGTGCCGAAAATAGGTGTTTTCTCGTGTGCGGAAAAGGTGTGTGGCAAAGGTTTTTCCGCACACTATGTGGGAAAATCAATTTTCCACACTAATATCAGTACGGAAAACACCTATTTTCCGCACACTTATTGCGAAAAAACTTGTACGCAACTCGTGTGGGACAATTTCTCGCACTCGTGTGATAGACTCACACTCGTGGTCGGTGACGGTAACTCGTGCCGTGCGATCACACTCGTGCTACGCACTCGTGTGCTCAACTGGTACTCGTTCCCGTCAACTCCGGCCACTCGTGCGAGTCAATCATGACTCGTGCGGGAAATCGTCTTTTCCGCACTTGTTACGTAACTAACTATTGTATTGAATGTAGCGCCTATGTTAAAATACTAACAATACTTTCAATCGTGAAAATCCAAATTTAATTCTTACGATTTGGATAAGATACTGAGATCATCTTGCACAACTTTAGACTAATATTACCTTTTCTGTTTATCTTGAGTTATAGTTTCGTCATAATCAGTCTTCAGTTTTAATTTTCTTTCAGCTATATTGTTTACCACTTGATTTATGATTCTAAAGAATTTTTAGAACTGTAAAAACAATTTATAAAATACACGTATTAAAAAAAAAAAAATAATCTGACGTAAAAGCTTCACACAAACCAAGTTTTTCTCCATTTGATGGATTGGAGTCAAGAAAGGGTGTAGCTGCTAATTCTAGTTTCAAGTACCATAAATAGTTTCTAAATTTTTCTATTGCACAAGTGGATAAGCCGTTTTGGGTGATTACATCAACTGATGTATTATTGGCATATGATAGAAAATACGTGCCATTTTCCCAACCTTATACATAAAGTTTGCCAGCATTATAGTAATACGTACTAGTGCAAGTGTTCGTCTATGGCTAAATCACTAGCAAGTAGCACTAATGACTTCCCGCTAAAAGCGAGAACAAACCGATTCTCTTCCCTTTTTTCTGCTATTCCTTGTATTTTTTTTTAATGCTTAAACTTATTCGGCACGGAGAAAGTACGTATGCATATGTAGGTTTCATATAACTTGCACACACACACACACACACACACACACGCACGCACACACGCACACACACGCACGAGCGCACTTCAGTTTTGTTTTCGTATGTGGCTAGATCGCTAGCACGCCACACTGATGAGTTTCAGCGATCAAGTAAAGAGCGATTGCCTTACTTTTTCTTACTATGCTTTGTTTTATTTTTAAATGCACTCCACGCTTTATGAAACAGTCACTGAGTTTAAATTTTAGTAAACAGTTTAAATTTCTTGGCATAGAGACAGTGCGTATGCATGCATAGGTACAATATAATTGCACACACAAGCCAAACAATTATTTTGCTTAAATTATCGAGTGAAGTGTTGGATCTTTATTAATAATAATATCCAGATATATTCCCTTTTGATTCTTTAATTATTTAAGATAGTGTGTCCTTAAATAGTGATTTTTCTTTTAAATTATCAATGAATGGGTCGCTACAAAAAGAACTTTTTATAAAGTCACAGCGCACTCTCTAATTATTGTTAGATACTTCATTTCAAACCACTTACAAAAGAAAATCGCAGTTGCCCTTCATCAAAACCATTCTATCTCCTTCACCACTTAGGCTCACAAGAAACTAGGCTGCTTAATGAGTAACTAGGACATTTCTTTACCCACATTTTGATAATTTTTCACACAATGTTGGGAATTGTAGCGAGAAACAGGGAGAGAGCTTTCATAAAGGTAAGAATAGAACAGTATGGTTTCATTGTGGTTGATGAAATGCACATCTTATGGCTTAATTAAAATGATTTTTAATAATGCTAGTCGTTTTTAGTGCTCCTAAGATCATAAAAAACACACACATCTTAAAAGTGCTCTGTCCAAGTAAAAGCAATTTTATAATTTTAAGCAGTGGCTTGAGAAAGACAGAAGAAATTGGAATTGGTCTGTTCAGGATGGAATCAACTTAAGTTATCCGTAGGCCTTACAGGAATTTAAAAAAAAATCTTTTCACCCAAATCTGATCCAAGTCAAAAACTAGCCTTATCGGCTCTCTCCTTTCATGTAATCATGTTCAGTTTACAAGTTATATTCATTGCACTATATTTACATCAAAATTCTTTCTCTTACAAGACTAACGCTTTTCTTATCTCTACTATCTCTTTACGTTCAAAATCAAAACAAAGACTTTCAACAGTATTAAGCTTATGTTTATCTTTTTTTGACTGCCAGCTATTTTCACTGTATTATTTCAATGTGCAGACCCAAAACACTTGGCCACTGTTAAGAACGCTTCTCTCACAGTGAGCATTTATTAGTAATTTTCTATTAAAAAATTTGTATGTAAGCTTTAAGCAACGTGACGAATTATCAACCCACTATTCCCGATTCCTACTCGCGACAATCGCCATCCCAGCAGTACTTCCCGTCGCAAACATTTGATAGCAGAGCGTGCTTCCGGAGACCATTTAACCGTCAGCGTAGGGTCGGGATTTGCAACGTGTGCTGACTCCAAGTTGAGCGGTGACCTGTTTGGTATTGGGTGTGTTGTGTGTGTGTGCTCGTGAAAGATTTTACGAGTTCGAGTGCAGTGCGGACGACTTCCGTCACTGAATCATTAAACCAGATGATGGTCAACTTCAACGCACTTCGGCTCGTTTGTCACGCGCGCTTCACGGCAGTATTGAGTTTGCTATGTCGTTGGACTTGAAATCGCTTTTCAAAAAACACGGCGAGTTGTTCCAGCATATCAACAACGCACACGTGAATCTGAAAAAGCTAGGCCAGGGAAAATTTACATGTACTATAATTCAACGACGCTAAGAGCAGTTAAGAGCTAATTGGGATACCTTCACTGAAATCACGATAAAATTCTCGCACTTCAAGACGATGCTGAATAAACAAGCTATTTTAAAGGTGATAACTATGGTGCTACAGAGAAGGCCTATTTCGATTCAGCTGTACCTCTTTCTGAGGAGCTGCAGAAGCTTCCTGCGCCCCCAGAAAGTAACAAAATCATGCCCTTGGCTGCGCCAAGAAGTCTCCCACCAATAGCTGTACCAACCTTTTTAGGCAAGTTTTTAGACTGGTTAGAATTCAAGGATGTGTTCGGAGCTATCGTCGTGCATGATTTATGACTAAGCAACATAGAGAAGTTGCAGCACCTGAAGATCCATGTCCAGGGTGAAGCAGCGGAAATGCTGCGTACGATGCAAAACGATCGATACGAACTTTGAAGCCGCATGGAAGATGTTTGATGACCACTACACAAACAAGCGGCTCTTGGTCTCAGAATTTACCAGGGACTTGCTTTCCGTGTCCACTGCATCAGATTCCGCAAAAGAGCTGAAGGCATTGCTCAGTGGCACTGTTAATGTCTTAGCTGCACTTAAACAGCTAGACCACCCTACTGCTCATTGGGACGACCTGGTG